ATATTCTCTCTTCCTTTAATGCATTTTTTCCTTCTCTCAGCTGTTACTATGGCAAGACTTTTGGAAGCTCTGCCAGCTCCTGATTCAAGTCTCTTATGAGTCAGGTGATACACTTTTAGCTCTAACAGTAAGGTATCACCTACCAATGTGTCTTTTGCCTTCATACAGTACAGAACCATTTCCCCTGGCTATCTCTCAGGTTCTCTCACCAATCACTTGCATGGTTAATCTCACCCCAACCTCCACATTTGAGTTCCTGCTCAGTACACAACATGTGCCGACACAAATAGTTCTCTGCACCATTAAATGTTTGTCACTTTATGTTTCACTTTGTATCTACAGTGAAATGCTTAGCTCTGATTGCTTGCTACACATGACCTATTCTATACAGCGGGATGTCAGCCCCTTCCCCTCCCGCTCCCTCTACTCCAGCATGGTATGTTTCTCTCTCCTCTGGCTCCCTCACTCAGCATTCATTCCTGCATGGTCTCATCTCTCTCTCTCTCTCTCTCTCTCTCTCCTCACCACCCTGCTGATGACAAATAACATGCTTAAATCACAGGACTGTCTCAGTGCGTTATCGCAGTGAGCTCTTTATAGAGACCTCAATATAGCTCCTTACTTTTGAAAGGAGTCTTTCCTTCTGAATATCTGTTTTTACAGTCTTCATACTAGTCTAGTCGTGAGTAATGAAGGCATCACATGGCTATTTTAAGAAGATCCCAAAGGGAATCTTTAGGGAATGGTTTGTTCCATTTGCAGTTTTTACTAGCGTTATAAACAGTCTGTATGTGATACTATTGTCAGATCCATGATGTCAACATACTCCCACTGTGCATCATCTCCCCAAGCTTTTGTTTTAGGATGTGTGGAATTTACAGCAATTAGCCACTGTGCATCTGTCTGATTTGTGATGTTGTGTCTTGCTCTTCATTTATTTGGCTCTTAAACTTGTATTTGGACTTTGGCAATTCTGTCAACTTAGAGATAAGTAACTCACAGCTAAGGCTGAAATGTTTAATACTGATTTTTATTTCTGTACGATAGACCAAGTACTTTTAGACCAATTTATATTTGCATATGTAAATGAATGCATAAATACGCTAATACTCCTAAACATTGCACTGTCTGTAGTTGCTTGTAGTTTTTCTGTGCTGCTTATTTTGAGTTAGCTTGTGAAGCCCTTATTCAAGAAGTACTCATGAATAGTTACTCACCTGTGTAAGATATTGACAATCTGGCCCCTTAGTGAATAAGCCCTGGAGCTAACAAAATTATGAATTTAAAGTATTTTACGTTGTTAGAACATTTTGGGGCACAGATATTGTACAACAAAAATTAATACACATTGACAAATCTATACACTCTCTCACCTCTGGAAGCTTTTCTATTGTCCAAAGTGTTTCTAGCATTGGCGGGTCATGGTATATCAGACCTTGAAATCACAGCATTCAGATTAGAAGATGGCTTTTAGTTTGCACTTCAATTCTGGCAAGATTTTAATAGCAGCTCTCATTAACTGCTAGAGTTGGAGATTAACATTTTATACCTTCTGAAAACTGGGATTCCAAGCTCAACGTTTAAGATTTCTGGTCTTAGCAATTCTTGATATAGAAGACACTAATGAAACTCATGTTGGAATTCAGGTGGAGGAGAAAGGGGAAAAAAAACAAAAACACATGAGGGTATTGAGAACTGTGAGTTTAAGGTTCAGTATTTCAACAGCCTCTCAGGACTAGAAATAAATGCTTTATAACTTTGGAAAGCTAAGACTCCTGGGTTATAAAGCACTTGTTCATAACCCTGATGATTTCAGAAAGAGATTTAACACTGTCAATAGTCCCTAAGTCTAGAACAGAGTTTTTGGCAAACCTCAGACTAGTTTAATCCCCTCCCCACCCCGTCCTTTCTTAACACCACTGAATATTCATATCAAATGTAGTCAGGCAGCACAGTTATTTAAGATGATTCTTATATTAATGTAGCCAGTGCCCTAATCTCAAATAGATATAATGGAGCTAACAAGAGACAAGCAGATCTAACTCCTTTTATAGACTAAGAGCCTGATTCTCATCACATAGCAGTGTAAATCAGGAATAGATCCATTGAAGTCAATGGAGATACATCAGCGGATGACAAGTTAAAATGGAGGCGAGTCAGACCCCAAATGTATCTTGTAGTTTTGATTTCAGATAAGGGGCAGAGGAATCTGAAAGTCTATCCAGCCCATTGACTGTGGGGCTGCTGTTCAGATGACAGGCAAACCTGAACATCAGCAATGCTTCATTGCCTCTGCAGACGTCAGCGTGGGAACAGATTGTCACCTACAGCTTGTGGTAACTGCTGGTTAAAAACAAAAATAATGCTCTGAGCTTGTGATGAAGCCATCTGTATTTTACCATAGTATGTTGCATCACAAAATGAAGTGTAAACTGAGTCAAGGCCGTGCCAATATCTCCCCTAGCATCACTTTCAATTAATTTGTTATTTGCAGTTTCATAGCCAAACACCCAGACATGCAAGGCTCCCACTTTCTAGTAGCTACAGCAAAAAGCAAACACAACACATCTTGTCTGTGCAGATGTGGGGGAGTGGTGGAAGAAGAGCTGTTTAGTTGTCACTCTTGCTCCTGCATGAGGGGGAGCCTATAGTTCATCAGCCCCCGAAGCAGAGCTGGCTTTAATATTTTGAGATAGGCCCGGAGAACCAGTCTTGCCACTGCCTTAAACTTAACTGGCTCATGTCCATCACCATCATCATCATCCCACTACACACAGAACCAGCCGGAGGATTTGGGGAGGGTTAGCAAGGTGATCCTTAGAGTTACAGACTTTCTATGTAAATGAGTCTCTAGGGTATGTGGTGTATCTGTGGGGGGGGATTGTTAATTTCCCCCCAGCCTCCTATTGCTGCTGTGGAGCCCAGCTGCTATTTTTTTTTTCAGCTGTAGCACTGTGTGTATGTCTCCAGGCTTCTCTCCAGAAGGAAAAGGGATAGAACTTATGCTGATTTAACTGAAAGCTGAGATTCCCCTTCATATTTCTAGCTCCCCCACCTCATGGTAAATATCGACAGGACTGCATTTGCTGTTCCTTTTAAAGATGTAGCAAGATACCCCAGTCTACCCTGCAACCCCCAGCACCCAGGAAACACTACATCTTACAGCTCTCCTCTCTAGTCCTTTGAGCACTGCAGGTACTACATATTCCTTCTTTCCCCGCCCCCCCAGCTCTCAAAACCACAGTAAGCCCATGTGGACACACAATGCAGCAGGGGACTGACTCCCCAGAAAGCAGAATCCCCTGGCTGCATAAGAGGGGTGGGATTAGCTCTTTAATGCATATCTTGCTTGCCTCATTCATCTGGTTAAAGTTTATCTGGTTACTTTGACCTGCCACGGCAGATTGCTAATACTGAGCACTCAGATGGCATCAGAGAAGGAGCAGAGCTATCACAACCAGTGTAAAGAAGAGGGGGTACCTGAATCTTGTACTGGTATTAGGTCAGGATATGTCCATTGACTATAACGGAGTTGTCAGAGTGGCCCCACCCAGAGCACCTTCCTGTGGCAGAACAGGCGTGTCTGCCTCAGCTTCCCTCCTTCTGACTTCCCAGTAACTCTATGCCAGGTTCTCTTGCCTCAGTAATACTTCTCCTGGTCTGGCTTATTACAAATATTCCACAACACATGTCCCCAAAGTATAGTCCATTTATCACCCACTGTGCATGTTGTCCTCAAAATCCTAGGACATCTAGTTTCCTCAATGCCCCACATGCCAGACTCTGGTGTCTTCTGCCACACCTGGCAGTTGGACAGTCCTCTGCTGTTCTTTTGCCAGGACAGCCACCCCAGCCCTTCCTGCTGGAGTGCATTCCCACTCTCCCCACACATGTACACCCAGCCTCTCTGCTGGGGTAGCATCCCTCACTCCCCTGGTCCATTAGCCCTCTCTGACTCTCTGGCACCAGCTCTCCAGCATGGAGACATCAGCAGGTAAGCCTCTCCGCTGCTCCCCTGCCTTCACAACCCTCTCTGTCAGAGATGTCAGTAGACAACTCCCTCTGTTGCTCTCTAACCTTCAGCCCTCCAGCCTTGGTTCTCTGGCTTGGGGAAATCAGCCAGTAAAGCAAACTCCTCTTGCTGCTCATCTGCCTTTCCCCTCCTAGAGTCTCCTGGTCAATGGCAGCTCTCCCCTGCTGATCTCTTACTCCCAGACAGCTTTCTCCTGCCTTTTCTGACTGAACCAGGCAACACTCACCTGTCCCTTTTCCTGACTGACTCAGGTAATTCTGACTCATTGGGTCTCCCTCCTCTCAGCTTCTCCCTGATTCTTTATAGTCCCAGGTGCTGCCTGCCTCTTAACTGGCCAGACTGGGAGCACCTGTTCTGGAACAGGGGAGCTGGACCTGCTTCATTTACAGGGGCCAGACACCCAGTGACAGGAGTTTGCTCCTGATTTACATTTGTGTTGACTAAGAGGAGAATCTGATCTGATGTCCACTCCAAAGAAATGCATAAAAAGAACAGCTGAGCACAAGCAGGCAGAAGTTGGTTATCTGAAACTGGCAGGGGAATGGACAGATGTGGATTTTCATTTTTAATATTTTTCTATTCAATCCTATCTCCAAACAGGGATTGGGATGGTTATGCAAACAATAAAAGGCTTATTTTTAAAATATTTTTCCTTAGAGAGACAGTAAGTTGAAGTTATTGGATTTTTTGTGTGTGGCAATCAGCCCCAATTCAGCAAAGCACACACATGACCTATGGACATAACTGCTTTACTGGATTGGGGCCTTAATATAGTGTTTTTACTTTTAATTTACATATTGAGGCTCCAATCCTGCAATGTGACGCACATGGGAAGACCCCTGCACCCAAGAGGAAACCTCAGGGTCTGCCCACATGTGTCACATTGCAGGATTGGTGCTCAAGTATTCTTCAGTAGCTTCCCCTTTGTCAAATTGTACACTCACTAACATATCCTATTATTTCCTAGGAGGAAAAAAATGTCTGCTAGCAGAACAGCTTCCTCTCACACTAGAGAGATAGCACGGAGTAGATCTGAAGGAACTGTGATTGACTTGGACAAGAGAAAACCTTCAACAAGCTGTGAGTTGCCAGGTCTGTTAATATTCATTACAAAGGGCCAACACACCTGCAAGTCTCTACTCAGGCAAAACTCCCATTGGCATCAATATCCAAGCAAGAACTACTCTGCTCATAAGTATGTTGCCTTAAATACAAGAGGACAGCTTCTCATTTGTATTATGTTTCCTTTGCACGACTCAGGCAGCGTAATGGGCCATATTCTAATTCCAATGCCTAGCAGAATACTCCCTTGGTATAGGGGAAACTCTGCTGGGTATTATTGTACCAGATCTAGGTCTGCGTTACTGCCATCATTATAGGGGGCATGTCAGGGGAGAGAGAAAGGGAGTATAGGATCTATTAAGGATCTTACATCAGTGGTACCACTTTGATATTTGTCCAGAAGCAGCTGTAAGTACTACTAGGGCCAGAGCTCATCCTGAGAATCAGGAAGCTGTAATCGGCTCCATATCACCCTACCCCACTCCTCTCCTATGCTGAGTGAAGCTGGCAATTTGCAAGAATTACAGTAACCTTAGGGATGGAACAGTAACCTATAGGGAGGGACAACATTAAGGGAGGGGCATGGGTGTGCTGAAAGAGACAAATAAAACCAGGCTGAGCTGCTGCTTTCATTGGTTTTTAAATAAAGATAAAGGAGCTTTACTGGCAGGCTGTGTATGGGAAGGAGGAAGAATCTCTTTCACTGCTGTTATTTATATTATTCTCTGCATGCAGAAAACCTGTATAAGGCAATGGGAGTTGAAATCACTCAGCCAGTTCCTTGCAAGGAGTGATTAGCATCTCATGCAATGGAGTCTTTAATCAGCATATGCTGTCATCATGCACATTTAGTCATTTGGATTTTGGTTTTATATGAGCTCTACACAAAAGGGTCCCCCCACATCCATAACAAATTGATATAGTAAAATAGATTTTATTGCTAGCAATACATATTTCAATCTAAAAGGGTATTTAAATATTGTCTATATAGGAAACAAAGTTTTTTTACTTTTTACTCCTTTTCACTCTACAAATAATCAAATGAAAAATTCACTCTTTAGTTGATTCCAAATTTAAAATGAGTAGTTGAATCTATACTGGTGAGAGTTATGAATTGTTACAGTGAAAATATCAACAAATTCTTCTGAGACTGAAACCAAATGAAATTAACAATAGCATGTTTAAGGTGTATTCTAAGGTGTAGGAAGAGAGAGAATCCTGAATGTTGTATGCTCTTTTCTACCATGTGTATATGGTAATTTCCAAAATGTAAGCGTCAGCCACTGTATTTCTGCACACAGCAAGCCACTAGGCAAAAAATGCCAATGGTCTTTCCTAGTGGACGACATTCATTAGAATACACAGTCTAAGGATCTGCTCTTGATGCAGCTCAGCGTCCTCAACTCCCATTAATACTACTGGGAATTGCAGGTGCTCAGCAGTGAGCTGCAGATACTCCACACCTTGCAATATCAGGCCCTATTATAAGGACTAATTTATTGGTGCTTTTTGGTTAATATTGCTTCTTTAATCCTAATTTAAATACTAACACGTTATTGACACTCTGTTGGTTATGTTTAAAACCTTAAAAGCAATATGAAGGTATAAACTGACCCTACATGACTTACAAGCTATACACATTTTAACTTGGGATAAATTTAGCCCTAGTGTACTGTAACTACATCAATAGGTTTACTGCAGAGATGAATTTGGCCCATTTTGTCCAATAAATAGGGTTTGGGTATGGATAGGAATAATTATCTCACTTTTTTTTTAAACAGATGATGAAGAGAATAAATTGGAGTCAATCATTGACTGGCCTGAGGTGTTCAACCAACATGCTCAGACTGTTTCCAAGACTAATCCTTTCCGGAATGAACTGTCAGCATCCAACCCATTTGTATATGATGTAGCTCAGTTAAGTAACAGTGACAAGAACAATAAACACATTTCTATCTTAAAAGAAGACCCCTATCTGTTCTCCAGAGTTTCAAGCAACAGGGATTCTTTTGCTTCATCAGGTGATGAGCTAGATATTGATCATCTTCTAAGAAAGGCTTCAGCAGGGAAATCTGGGAGATCTAAGAGTGCCTCTGAGCTTTTGGACATTGTAGATGCCAAAAGATTTGATCCTGACAACACAGCACCCTCTGACCAGATTTTAGCTGCAGACATGGAATGGCTTCAAAATGACCGTGAAGCCTACAAGATGGCTTGGTTGAGTCATCGACAGCTGGCCCGATCTTGTCTAGATTTGGATGTGATGAGTCATAGTCCAGGATGGGCTCAAACACAACCTACAGACACTCATATAGTTTGTAAACTGAATCATGAAGGGGGTTCAGTGCAGCTACCTGACTCGGATATCACTGTTCACATCCCTGAGGGTCATGTATCACCTGGGGAATTCCAAGAGGTTGGTTTAAGGGCTATTCTGAACCCTCCCCCATCACTTAATCATGATCTTTCAAGCACTGTGAGCCCATTGATAGAACTTACTTTAAGTAACCTCAACACAATGGAAGCCATTTTACTAGAAATGAAAATTGCAGCTGAAGTGAAGAAGGATCCTTTCAGTCAAGTTATGACTGAAATTATGGGTTTTTATAGTCTCAACAAAGAAGGTCCTTTTGAAAAGCTACACAACTGCTACATTTACAAAGATACCATACAAGTGAAGTTGACAGACCTAAGTCATGTGATGTACATAGTGGTTACAGTACAAGCGAACCCAATTCAGTCTCTGGCTACATCTGTTTGGGAATACATCCACAGAAACCTCTCCATTGGAATTTATGGGCCCAAACATATTCATCCTTCTTTCACTGCTGTTTTTACAGTCTTTGGTCATAACTACATTCCAGAAAAACTCACAGTTTGTGACATTAAAAAGGGTGGAAAGAGCATGCCACCAGTGGTGTTTAATCTGTGGGGAAAGCATACATTTTCACTTGATAAGCCACAAGATCTAAGTGTTTCTTTGATATCCTGTGATCCTGATTTTGAAGTGAAGGTGGAAGATCAAAGCAAAGAAATTAAAGAAGGGCAGTTGAAAGCAGGTGAAGTTGTCCACCAGCAGTTTCCATTTTCTGTACTGGGAACTGGGGAAATGCATTTATTCACATTCCTAGTTCAGATTAAAGTCCCAAACAACAATCTAGTGACCCAGTTCCCTATTACAACTCCTGATCCAGCTCCAAAGTTAACTGGGATGGCTAGTAAGCCAAACCGTTTACAGAAACGCAAAGAGATCAAATCTGCTCCTTTTTTATTGACACCAACAGTTAAATACCCCAAGTTTCAAGATAAGACTTTAAATATTACTAGCTACGGAGTGGCCTTGAAAACTGTGTTTCGTCAAAATAAGATTGACTATTTACTAGAATATTTTAAAGGGGACACAATAGCATTTCTTGGTGAAGATAAAGTGAAAGCCATTGGACAAACTAAAGTTAAAGAATGGTATGTGGGAGTTCTTCGAAGAAAGATTGGTCTAGTGCACTGTAAAAACGTAAAAGTGATTTTAAAAGAACAAGCTATAGATATCACTGATAGCGTGCTGCCAACCAGGAATCTTCTGGAACAAATTGCACTGCCTTTTAAGAAATTGACATATATCTATTCCTTAGTCCTATCCACGGTATCGGAGAGAGTTTACAACTGGAAAGCTTTGGCTGATGTGCTAGGATATTCACATATGTCATTGGATGATTTCAGTGAGGTACCAGCAGATAAAGAATCAGAAAGAGTCGCGTATGTGGTGAAGAAATTGAAGGAAGATTGCCATGCTAACAGACCCAGAAGGCAGTTTCTTTATGAGCTCATTGTTGTAAGTACTGCTCAAGTGGACTCATCTGTTTTGTATGGATAGTAAATGAGTACTGTTTACCAGTAATGATTTTAAGTAATGAAATATGATACTACAGTAGTACTGTATTATGAATCTTTGCAAATATGAATACAGTAACTGAAAACTGTAAGCACCCTAGTTAAAAAATTTGAGCAGATAGTCGACATAAATTAATACAATATTCAATACAAACCACATAAATTTATGTTAATTGATCCAGCCCATATATGGTCAAATTTGTAAAAATTAGAGTAATGCTCAGTAGCGAGCTGGCTGGGATGACAGAAACTATGACTTTTTATGAAAAAAAAATACCCTTAAAACCCACACTTTCCATCACAAAAGTGTTTTATAAACACTGCTATATTGGAACTTTTTAAACTATCAGTCCAGTCTGGATTTGAACCAGTGACCTACAAGTGAAAGCTCTATATCTCTTTACAAACCTAAATCTATCATAAACTAGCTGCTTAGAATCCTTTTATATTTTTAAGGCAAGGAAAGCATGGTATATTTACAGAAGATTTGATTTTCTGTATAAAGCTACCCATGTTTTGCATCTTGATAATCCATGTTGTTGCTGCTTAAAGAAAGGCAATTAAGTCATTACAATTATTTTTAGAAGTTCAGATTTTCATGAGGAAGACTTGCAATTTGCTGAACAAGTCTTACTGGATTCAGTGATATTTTTCTTCAAGAACTGCTGTACTTCAGCCTTTCAGGTGAATGGTTGAATTACAAACCTTAAAATCCTCATGTAACCTACATCTGAAAATGTGCACATATACAACAATGTTTCCGTTAAGTCAAGAAAAAGTGGAGTTGAGGGTACTGCCTGGGGCCCTTAGACTGATAAGCAGACAAGGCTTATTTAGGAATGGCAGAGAGCCAAGTTTTATATTTGTTATAATAATGGCTCTCTGATGAATTCACAGCTGAGGCTTTTCTATTAAGCCTTCCCCCTTTGCAGGGTCCCAGCTTCAGCCTGAGCACGAATGTCTACCCTGTAATTAAACAGCTCCATAGCCTGAACCCTGCAAGTCTGAGTCAGCTAACATGGGCCAGCCGGGGTGTTTAATTGCAATGTAGACATACCCTTAGCCACTCCCGTATTGCAGACACACTGAGAGTGCTATGTGACATAACTAATCCATTCCCTTTGAAAAGTCAGCATTCCAAAGGGCCTCAATAAATACACTGCCCAAAGGCGATGGCAGCAGCGGCCACTTGCAAACTGAGTAAAGTTCTTAACGTTCCAGGAGGTGATATAAAAATGAGTTGGGTTCATTTATGTTTCTCTTTATTCAAAACGAGTTAAAGGGGAAACTAGCCAACCTAGCAAATGGAGACAGAGCTGTGTGAAGACCTCATTATAAAACAGGGAATGTATACAGGGGCCAGGAAAAAACATCAGAGGACTAAGGAGATATCGTATCTGTGAATGGTGTACGATTTCCAGCTCTGAAATGCCAATTTGGCTTGCTGCCTTTATAAAAGCTACAGTTACAGATATAAAATCACCCATGCCACTTATGGGAACGTCTTTTTAACGTTTAAAATGAGATGAATCCCAGTTCTTCAACAGACCGGGTCCACTGCTGCTCAATGGAGCATATGTAAAAATTGCATTTGTATTTTGAGCAATATGTTAGACCTATCCAGCTAGCCAAAAAGTATGCAGATTAGGCATACTGGGCCAAACTCTGCTTTCCATTGTACTGACTTCAGGGGAGTTTACTCTGGATATGCATCAGCGTAGCACAACTTAGAATCTCCTAAATCTAATATGATGGATTTAGGAACTCTGGAAAAAACCTATGACTCCCATCTGGCAAAGAGGGCACAAAACTGTGGTAACACTGTCAGTTCGGCTATGTGGGGAAGAGAGAAGTCTGAGCAGCGGTCAGGGGAAAGAGGGATGGACCAACCACTAGCTCCCTATGGAACAATGTTCTGCTGTAGCTGTCTCCACAGCAATGCACAGGAGCATTTAATAGGCGAGGTGAGCAGGAGGGGCAGCAATATGGCGAGTTATTTTGTTAATATGCTGATAAGCTGTCCAGAAAACCTTGTGAGAAGAAGGGCTGGATGCTACTCGAAGCCTGAGAGTGAGGTGGCAGTTTTGGGTCAGCTATGTCGATGCTTTCTGAGGTGGGAGGAAAAAGGAGGTTTACATGCCCCCACCCCCTCATTTTTTTGTACTTTGGTCTGGGGATTCAGGACTTGGTCCTTTATATGTAACTTGTGAGATTCCCCTTCCCTACGCCATGCAATGCAACAAGGAACATACAAAGTTATTTATAGAAGCAGGAACATTAAAGCAGTAAAGTGCCAAATTCATAATGGTGCTTTATTTAGTAATCTGAGTGTTAGTCCTGAAATCCATACATAGGCAAAACTCCCAGTGCTTTTAGTTGGAGTTTTGCCTGAGTAAGGACTTCAGAACCAGAGCTATAATCATTCTGTATGAAATTTGCAACGAGCAATGAACACTATTATTATTTGTGTCAA